TACTCTATTCCTGATAACATGACAGCCAAGCAACATCGTGTATTACTGTGATACTAGTATTACGTGTATTACTGTGATTTTATTAACATGGCACTCTATTCCAGACAACATGGCAGCCAAGCACCATCGTTTATTACTGTGATACTAGTATTACGTTTATTACTGTGATTTTATTAACATGGCACTCTATTCCAGATAACATGGCAGCCAAACAACATCGTTTATTACTGTGATACTAGTATTACGTTTATTACTGTGATTTTATTAACATGGCACTCTATTCCAGATAACATGGCAGCCAAGCAACATCGTTTATTACTGTGATACTAGTATTACGTTTATTACTGTGATTTTATTAACATGGCACTCTATTCCAGATAACAGGGCAGCCAAGCAACATCGTTTATTACTGTGATACTAGTATTACATTTATTACTGTGATTTTATTAACATGGCACTCTATTCCAGATAACATGGCAGCCAAGCAACATCGTTTATTACTGAAACTGTTAGCTGCAGTGATCATTCTCGTTGCTTTGATTATACTACATAAGGAATCAAAGGTATGGGTTTGCTTATTAAAATTACATGTCACTCATAATTCATTACATATTTATACACAATTAAAAGTAGTTTGTTAATTACGTGTGAAGATCTATCTCATGCTGGGTTTGACGCATGTATCAAGCTTTTATAAAGCTACATATACAGCGGGTGCTAGAAATACAGCACAGATGTCTATTTAAGTTTCACTCATTTTTGTGGAATATTATCTGCATTTATTATTCATGATTACTGTTTTATGTAAGCAGGGATGGGGAAACGGGTTATAATAATAGGACAGTTTGGTTTGGAAAGTGGGTTTCGCATTAATTAATGACGTTGCAGGCCAATGAAGTCTATATCGATTCGTTACGGGGCCACGTCAGTCAATGTTACTCACTTAATAAGCCCATTTTAAATTATTATGTTTATACATTCAGAATGCTCTTAGTTGTCATCCAATCACAATCAACAATCTTATTTAATAAATTTGAATATCGTATAGATGCACTTCCAATAACATTCTGCATAATTATAAAAAAAGACGTCTTCATTCTGCCATAACATGCTGTATTCTAAATTCGTCAGGAATAGATGTGTATTAGTACACTTGTAGAATGGCATTCTGGTGCATTTAACTTCACACTCTATAATACATTTCAGAAAGAGCCATATTATGCAATTTGTCACAAAACATTTGAGCATATTAAGTGGCATGACATATACTATCAGTTGTGCATGTCGAACCTGTACTCAAAGCTGTTGCGACTTCTCATGGCCCAGTCGTAGCAATCATTTTATTGTTTATAATTTTATATGATTCTACAAACCTCTGTAGAGTTCTCTGTAGAATTTCCTACGCTGACGCGAAATTTCCACGACTGGTCTGTTCTGCTGCGTGTTCTAAAGCTGTCACCACGTTTTCGAGGTGATAAATATGCTAATGAGTAGCATAAATAGTATGTGTCAACCAATAAGTAAGGCAGCTTTTGATCCGACTTTTTCTACACACGATGGCCTGACGCGTGGAATCGCATACTTTTTTCTTTTTACCTCTTTTGGAAGTGTTACGGGTTTCATAACGTCACTGCATCAATGAATAATTAATAGCAATGAATACGCCACGCCATATCAGAAAGACCAGTCATTATTAAGAAGGAATTATAAAATTGCCACGGCTGGTTGCGACCTTTCATGGTTGAAGTTGTAAATTGTTGATAATCATATTTTTTGACAAAATGTAGAGGTAATTTGTGGTTTTAATAACTTCGTCATCGTACAGTAACACCCAGTTTAATTCAAGGTCTTCGAAATTCCATATTGTAGTGTCTTCTGGATCTTTGTCTACTGAATCTAAATTATGTTTTGTAGATATTCATAGCATATGAGAGGAAGCTACAATCATTAGACAATTCTGTGCGCCAATTCCTTATGAACAATGACAACACTGATTCGCGTGTACAGACACTTAGTGTAGCAGTTAATGATAATACGATATCTTCTATGAACCAAGATCATAAAAGGAACTTCAATGCATTGTTTCCATAAAATGATTATAATCGATTTGGAATGGAATGGATGAACATTGTTGACGAGCTTGAATGGGTGAACCGCAATAAAATTGTTGAACCAAGAAATTATGAAATACCTTTCGACTTTGGAAATGGAGCTTTAGGACGAACATCTATTAAGAAAACAAGGTACATGTTTTCGTAGAATGAAAGAAACTTATTGGATTGAACATTATTTATTTTTTATAGTTGTCAATCATTTGTTATGACTCCGTGTTCAACGATCAACGATTAGGTTTGTTACTTGTACCTTTCTGTAAGAATCTTATCACACTTTGTCATAATTTAAAAATTATAATTTCACACACCATATAATTCAATCATATTATGATCAACGTATACGTTCATTTCATTGTAACTATGTTAATTTCTTGTTGTAGAGCTACATTGACTTCCAATAAGATTATCCAGAAAGGGACTTTTATCTGCATCTCAATTGTGACATTTGATGATAATGGCCGTCCACGGAATAGGGGAGGAGATTTCTTCTCCGCTCGAATGTCGAATGACTATCAACAGAAGAGCACATCAGGTCGAGTAGTAGACCATGGGAATGGTACTTACTCCGTGTATTTCTATGCGGCTTGGGCAGGAAAAGCTCGAATTACCATAGCACTTACATTTGTGAGAGAGTTCATCAACTATATTAAAGACGCATTGAAAAAACAGGAACAATTAATTGAATTCACAGGCACTTACCTAGACGGAGTCGTTACCGAGGCAACAAGTTGTCATCTGATCAATGAGGGCATATGGAGTGACATGTGCGAATACACAAATCTGAACTCTGTTGGGAAAACTGTACTTGTGTGCAATAAACCCAGTAACATCGATTGTTCCAAACTTGCTAAACTCTCAGTCGCTGCAACAAGGCTGGACTCACTTGCCGCATCAGAAATTGGGCGGACTAAAAACCTATTTGAAAGGTAACAATATAAATAGTGTGCAATGCAAAAATTCAATGGCGACGATCCGATAGATTAATATGGTTTCTTGATTCGTACCTTTGTAGCCAGATCTATGAGTAAAATTTTGAATGCTTTGTGTATTGTCCTCACTTCGCAATGCCAATTAATAATTGAACATTTTAATATTGCAGACAATCTGACCAGGCAATATTGGAAGGCATGCCAATGAAACTGACTATACATGGTAATTGGTTATTATAAGATATCATTTCAAACTATATTTTCGAGTGATTTCGATTTCTCTTATACTGATAAGAATACAGTTGACTCACAGCATATTTCATCGTTATATTTGAGATCCTGTAACTAAAACAGAAAGTATTATAAACTACAAACATGGAATTGTATTCTGCTAGAAACTACTCTAAACGATAATAAACAATACAATGAACAATTTTGAATATTTTTTCTCGCAAACTGAAATGTTGAATATTTTAACAATGCCCTTTGATCTGGTCACATACTGACAATAAGTGATTATATTTACAGTGTGACTCAATGCGATTAAATTCCATGATGATAGCATCATGTGATGTGTAAATTGAAATGCACATTGTATACTTTTTAAATGAATGCTATATTTATAAACTACAACAATTCAAACTAACATAAACACATACACACACCGTAGCTGTAACGCCACACATTGGATTAACTTTTAATATAGTTGCCATATAAACTCGACTAAAACGCGTTCCTATATAAGATTGCGTTTTAATTGGAGTTTAATTAAACTTGATTACAATACAACGTAGAATTGCGTTTTAATTAAGTTTAATTAAATATAAGTTGAATATCCCGTGACTGAACATAGAAATGTTTGCGAAGCTTAGGTTTAGTAA